AAGGCAGCATAGAAACTTTTTGCTAGATTCTCTTCCCTCTTATTTGAAGTGTCCTAAAAGGTTTGAGATTTCTACCTTTTAGGAACCTTTGGATTCTCACCCATGGCCAGGATGAAGGATTGGATCTTCACCGACCCATGTGTGGAGGCCGCCCCCCCCCCCCCCTCCAACCAGATCATTATTTAATCACATCCGTTAGTTCATGGGTCACTGTCCCTTCCCCTCTACATGTCCATAACAAAGATTGGACCAAAGCATACTATAAATCATGGAGGACGACCTATACAAAAGCAATAGCTTGAATTCATATTTGTTTTTCATACATTTATTAACATTCTTTTATTTCTTTATTTACACCAAAAACTATTAAGTTGTATTGATTATGCAAAGCAACACTGACCAATTTTGGTAAAGGTTATACTTTTTTTTCTGTATGCTGCTTCAGTTATAATGTCTGCAAATATTGTGTATTTGTAATTTAATGAATTTATATTTTACTTTAAAGAAATCAGCCTATATGACATGAAAGCCTTATATCATCGTTTCCACTAGGTAGGCCTACTTATCATGTAAGTGTAGCTTATAGAATGTATAACAGACTATTTAATATAACAATTGTTTTCTCTTTGGGTATGGGTGATTAGTAAATGATTGTTTGATTGAATGATTGTATCATAAAGTAAGTTGTTCAGGTGGTCAACTACAACGAAGTAATGACACTGATGTGTTAAATCTGAGCTTCAAGTTAGCATTAGAAATAGTGAAACTTTTTTATGGATGTTATGAACCTGTTAGTTCAATCTGCTCAATTTACACAAGTGCCTAATATGTGACAAGTGACAATATGTTACCCTGGAGAAAAAAAAATTTCTTGATCTTTGACATGACTTTTACAAAATGTTAAGGAAAAAATGAAGCTCTTGATAGAGTGATTAGAAATTGAAACTAAAGGTCAGTGGCTTAGCTAGGGTGGGATGGGGGGGGGGGTCCAAATTCAAAAGTCCCTAGGCCCCCCAAAAGAATGTCCAAATTTTATTTTTACGTTAAATATTACGCCAATGCCATGAATCTTGCTATTCACATGGAGTCATAATACTAGACAGCATTGATCTAGAATATTCTAGATGATGTTATAGATGCCTGCACAGAAATCACAACGTGAGGCTATATGAATTGGGATTTGTCACTTGTGCATTATCTCGTCAATAAACAACAGTGGTATTCATTAAAATATTCTTGATGATTTTTTTGTTAATTTTACGTATAAACTGTACCGATTGGAATTTGTATATTTATTAAGTACATTATATGATGTCCAATGTCGAAATGCAAGGACACATAAAAAAAGGTCAAGACCCCCCTCCACCCCCTTCCCAAATCCCTAGCTACGCCACTGCCTAAGGTCTTTTGAAACATGCTGCTTTGACAATGAAGCCCAGTGACATTTAATGCATTTCTCAAGGCTGTGAGAAAACAATAAACCGAGGTAAACCAAGGTGTTTCTTGTTTGTTCTTGTATGGACATTAAAATAAAAACTGGTTCAATGTGCAGCTAGTTGTCAGTTGTAAGAGGCAAAATTGGTTTTTATTTGAAAGTCTTATCTTATAATTGAGATATTTCCCGTCAAAAGAGAAGATAATTTTGTCCTACTTGTATCCATGAAGTAGTCGAGTTGTGCATGTTAATCTTAACTAAGTCATTGGTTTTCCTGGCTGACTCAGTTCCATTCTTTCATGAGGCTAGGGAAGATGGGGCCCTTGTATGACTGTGTCCTTGCATATGGAATAAGTAATGTTCTTTTAGCTTTGTGTCTTTCTGATTATTTTATAAGGTTTTGTATTTGTAAATTTGTGTATTATTGTTACTTTACTTTTTAATCTTGAAGTGTCTCTTAAGTTTGATTATTTCAATTTTTGTGTTTTAGTAGAGCAATGTACAGTACACAGATGCCTACATGGAAATGTGTATTTTGAGGGGCAAATGTGTATTATCCTAGATCAAGAAATATACTCAGGAAAGACTAAAATCATTCAAGCACATAGCATACAGGAAAGGCAGCATTAAGTTATATAAGACATTGTATACATTTTTCAGAATATTTGCACATTTAGTCTTTGTTATAGACTGTCCTAGAAGAATATGTTAGAATGTTCTTCTTGTCACTTGGCAATGATTTTATGATCATAATGCCTTTAGTATTTCATTCCTGATTCCATAATAGCACCAACAGAAACTTCATTCAAAAGAATGGGACTTTATTCTAGAAGTGAATCTAGACTTGGCAATGGTTTTGCTTGGCTCTATTGGTGACATCTATTTTTGTTAATGGGCGATTTCTTTACAAGGTAAGCAGACACTGGAAATATTTTATCACATTTTGAAAGAATTCAGATTTTCTTCTTTCTGACCATTCTTAGCAGAGTCAGCCATGAAAGTTTTGACATCCTCTACAATGGTTAATAAAAAAAAAAATATAGATTTGTTTTCAGACAGATAATTCTTACTAGTCATTGAACTTCTAATATAGAAGCTGGGCTCAGCTATTGAGTCTGCTGAATAAATAAACTCCCTTTCTGTTGTAGGATCAAGTTTTTTTTTCTGATGTTTTAAGTAGTTTTTTTTACAAAACGTGTTTAAGTAGGACTCAAAGAATTTAGTGCCTTTTTTATCAGCATAAGCTTTTCTTTTGTTAACAAACTCAAACCTTCAATGTCCCTGATTTTCTCATTCTTTCAATTATGGCTTTCATAAGTACCGATAATGGTAGCTTTAGATCTGCCTACTTTCTGTAACTTTAGAGTCAGGGCGCATCAGTTTGATTCCCTTTGTCATGCTAAGAGAGATTAACCACCATTCCTCGTTCCATATGCTAGGACAAATTTGTACAAATGCTCCTTCTTCCCTAGTGCTATTAGAGCATGGAATGGGTAGCTTGAGCTAGCCAGGAAAACCAGTGACTTGGCAGAATTTAAGTCATTGATTAACATGCATGACTAAATGCATGACGCGCAGGACGTAATCATCATCTTTTTTTTGTTGAAGTAACGTCTGTATTATATAAGATAAGGTTAAAACCTCTTCCCTTCTCACTTTCATCACCTGAATATGGTGGTTTACAAAAAATCGAATCTTGATCTAGAGATTAGAGACAGCTTCATCAACAGTTGATTGGTTTTAATGTGCATGTGCAATTTAAAGCTATTTAAATAATCCTACGGCTATGTTCTGAATGTGAAATCTTCAGTTAGATCAGCTAATTTTGCCTTTTTTTAAAAAAAAATTCATTCCATAATTGATAAGAAAGGAGATCAATAAATCTCTATAAGATGGTAGAAGTTGCTGCGCGCTTTTGAGTAGCTCTAGATCTAGTTACATATATCGATATAGATCCTAAACTAAAGCTACTAGACTTTGTCAGTAGTCTAAATCTAGATGGATAATTAGATCTAGATCTACTTTGATCTAGATCTAGAAACAAGACTAGATCTATTTAGATCTTAATTCTAAATCTAGATTTATGTAAATTCTAGAAATAAACTCTAACAAATTGAAGGGAACTGCGCTCTATGTCCATCAGCAATATCTAGATCTAATAATTGTTTTAAATATTCGTACGTCAGCGCGCGAAAAAAAAAAAGTTTCTCTTGAGGTAGCTCTAATAAGAATAGTCCAGGTATATACGCACTGATCTATATAAATCTATATGATTAGCAACAACTTTTAGACCATAAGCCGTACTGGCATATTTTCGTGTCCATTTGAGTATAAAATACGCACGATGCGTTATTGTAGGCATCTCTGATATGTATTGCGACCTTTTTGATAGAAAATGTTTAGGTGTCAAGTTGAAACATTCTATTTATATACCGCTATATTTAAATCTATCTATCTATCTTGGCCTCCTTCAGTCGTAGAACGACTATGGTTCATCTCGAACTAAAAGCATACCTATCTATGTATCTACTTGTATTTCTATCCAGCTCATAATAAACTTACTCTATGCAAAGTATTTTAAAATGATCATTTCATCTCGAGGGTCGCGGTCCTTACCCTCTCACATGCCCATACAAAAGCAATAATACTAACCTTGGCTATAGCTGGAATTCGCTTTTGTTTTTCATACATGTATTCACATTTTTGTTATGTTTTTATTTACGCCAGAAGTATTAAGTTGTTTTGAATACGCGTAGCAACACTGACCAATTTTGTTAAAAGGTTTCTGCGAGGATGTAATTTTATGCCAATTGCAGTGTGTCAAGTCTAATGATAAGCGATATAGGCTACATACGAATAGAGTCTCTGAAATGTCAATATGTTCTACAGCTGGATAGCCCTCAGGATTTTCCTTTAAGAAAATGTCTGATACAAATCTAGTTTGAATGTTCTAGTTTTTGGTTTTGGAAACAATCCAGCAGGGAAATAAAAAAAAAAAAACACATCTCAGAAACTGCTCTGAGATGGGGTGTTTTTTTTTTATTTGCCTGCTGGATTGTTTCCAAACAATCCAGCAGGCAAATAATTTAAAAAAAAAACACCATCTCAGAGCAGTTGTAAATCAAGACTGTTCAGGCTGAACCATCGTCTTTTTTTAAAAATTATTTTTTTAGCAACGTGTGTATTTTATAAGATATTTTATAACTTTATTACTAGGGTGTTTTGTTTCGGATGTTACTTGGAATGGAACATTACTACACCCTATATTGGTCTATACCATCCCGAGAGCATACCAGACAAGCATCCTAACTCAACTAAACATTAACTTATAATCCTACCCAAAATAATACTAGCTTAAAGAAAGATTCTCTTCAGGTTCATAGGCGAACATTTTTTTGTACCTTGAAAGAAACCTTTCAACCTCATTACAAGCCTCAATAGTTTAAAAATTATGTTGTGTTTTTGTTTGTAACTCTTCAAGAATAATCTCTGTTATTAAAGTTGCTTTTTATGTGATTACTATTTAATTAACTATCTCAATGTGTGTTCTTGGTGAACTGAATCAACATACAAGCTAATGAGATCTTTGAGTTGAACTGAATCAACATACAAGCTAATGAGATCTTTGAGTTGAACTGAATCAACATACAAGCTAATGAGATCTTTCAGTGGAACTGAATCAGCATACAAACCAATGAGATCTTTGAGTTGTCCATTCTATGTATGTAATATAAACTGTTGTACTTTTGAAATATGTTGGTTGTGTACATTGTTTTTACTTTTGATTCATTTACCTTTGTTAATTGGTTGTTAGTGATATGGTTGATTTCTAATTAGAAATATCATATTGCATAAACTTTTTGTTTCAAGACTATGCAAATATAAACAAAAAAGTTGGCAATTTTTTTGGGCTCAACAATTGTTTTGTTAAAGAATTTATTATCTTTGCATTCCTTAATCAAATGCAACTTTAAACCAGCATTAATTCTCCAATATAATTTTCTTGCATACATGTTGTTTTTTTTTAATTCAATCTTTTGAAAGTGTTTTTTATGTGCATATTATCAGAATATTACCAGGTTTACAATGTATAGTTTTAAAAGCAAAATTTTTAATAATATTCTTTTACTGAAGGGTTGTTTAAAACAAAAAAAAATGTATTGAGTTTTTATTGTTTGTGTGTGTTTTTTGTCATTGTTTTCTCCTTCTTCCTCCCTCTTTGAAAAAATTTTGTTTTTCTATTGACTCAAAATTCTTCTTAGAATGCTGAGGGCGCCTAATAGTCGTGGGCCAGGGTTCATTGAACCCCTTCACGCCATGGATGCTACGCCACTGAGTCCGTGGACATATGGAGTGATAATAATAATAACCAAGATTTTAAAAAAAATTTTGTTTAGAGATGACCAAAAAAAAAAAAGGTGAGAGCAGGCGGGGATCGTATCAGGTAACTGTCAAGCATTGTTGACAATAAATACAGCGGGTCTCCGGTCTATCTATTGCCTAGTGTTTGGGGTACTGAATGCATAAGCACAATGCAAATGTTGATTGTAAAAATATCAATGAGACCTTTCTAGGAATTCATTTCTACCTTGTTATGGAGAGAGATACGTGTCATAGGACTTTTGGCCTGATGAATTATTGGGGCATTACATGTGATCATATACTTTGAAGGCTGTGTAGCGGCACGCTTTCCACTGTCGTCATAATTTCCAAAACTGGCCAGCTTTTGTTTAACCTAGTTAATGTTGCCAAATCTCAATACAAAATTCTTTTCTTCTTGTAACAAGACCTAACCTTATGTCATCTACTACAGCTATCGTAACATATTTTCTCGGTTACAATCTTTATTTAAAAAAAAAAAAAAAACTGCCTAATTTAAATCATTATGTCACTCTACGATAGGCCTACTCCCCCCCCCCCCACCTGACTACTCTATGATAACAGAAAAGGTCTTATTTAATATTTTTTTTTTGGTCTTTCTCGGTCCCTGTATTTATTATAGCGTAGAGGCAGGTTATCGGATTTCCCTTACACCTTATAGAGGCTCCCTTTTTTTGTTCTTCTTGAACTATCTTCCTTTTCGCAGAAAAAAATAATGATACTACTGATAGTAATGAGTTTTTAAATTTATTTTTTTTTTATTTCGAAGATTAAGGATTAGTGCAGTATTACACTTGTCAACCCGAAGCCAACTAGGCCTACATATATTCACACATCTGATACAGACGAAGCTGTTCCTTTCACCGCCTGCGTCTGTCTTCGACAAGAGCTTTTTTTAATTATTTTTTTATTTTTTTTTTCTGAAATCTTTCTCCCGAGACCATTTGTGTCGAAAATGTTTCCCGCCTTCTCTTTACCACACGGTAAAGAAGCCTGCAAACTATAATGTCTATTGAGTAAAAAGAGTGTAATAAATTTTAGCCTAGTTCAAAATTTAAAAAAAGCCTCTGAGAGTGTGTGTAAGTAACTGGAAGATATCTACATCTTAATGGTGACAAGCTGAGTTCTGCTCATATAAGAAGAAGTATATTCCAGGATGGTGCTCTATCTCCGCTCTGGTTTTGCCTAGCAATTAACCCTGCTCCATAATACTGCATATCGTTTCAGAGATGACACCAACTGTTAGAACAAGCCTGTCTCACCTGTTATACATGGATGATTAAAACTTATATCCAGAAATGGATAAGAAATTGCACACCTTAATTAAAACGGTAAAGCACTTCAGTGACGATATTTTTTATGTTTTTTTGGCGTGGATAAGTGTGGCGTCGTAATTATTAAAAGGACCCAACACTAACAACACATTTGAGGGCATTGAAGAATTGAACTCTGCTACGGTTTATAAATATCTGGATATTACCCAGAATGCCACTATTAATGAAATAAAAGAGGAGTTTCTTTCTAGATTGAAGCAAAAGATTAACTTAAAGACTCAACAGTTAATTGTCTGGCAAGAAAGTCATCACTGCTGTTGCAATAAATTGCTGTACTATTCGAACAAATTCAAAAATACAAAACCTATTAAAATACCTAACAAAACCCTTAGGTCGATTTTACCGATTGCTCCAGTCGGACCCCGCACCTGGCAGAGGTCCCGCAATTTACATTAAGCATATCACCATGAGTTATGGCTATTGTCACGGGCTTTTAAAGGGACTTAAAGGTAGCCCTATCGTACGATTGATGTAACTTTAATTAACCCACAGGCACCTATTGCTTTTTAGTTGCTTTCTATGCATGTTGTATAATAACATATAACATATACTGATCTAATTAATAGTAATAATTGTTATTGTAAAAAAAAATTAGAAGAGGGGGCTTCGCAAGCATCAATTAAATTGGGCACAACAATTCGTAAGGCCGGCCTTACTGACAATAAAACAACCAAATTTTGATGTTTACACTCCAAGTCTTCCATTATACGGTTACAGGTCTACCTGCTGATGAATGATATTGGCCGTGGACTGCTAAATGTGGAAGACACAAATTTTCAGAATACGATATAAAGGATCCACGCCACTAGCAAATTCTGAAACTCGATGTTATTGACAAATGCCAAAAGTGCGGAAACGTTGGCGAGTCAAAATGGCAGGATGCCCAGCTTTCTCTGAATCTGCCTATTTAGGTCGAGATCATCAAGTTGCGAAACTAATCCATCAACACCTGGCCTTGACACGAACTAAATGGAAAAAATACATCCCCTTATTACAAATACTCACCACAATAGGTTCTCGAGTCAACCAAATTATCTACTTTACTGGGATCACCCTATTTCAACGAACAAGATGGTGGATTCACATTGACCAGGTTTACTCTTTATCGACAAAAATGAAAACTCCACAACCATCATTGACATCGCGGTAACGCAGTGTAAGAATACTGTAAATTTAAAAAAAAAAAAAAAAAAAGAACAAAATATGAACATCTAAGCTTAGCACTACACCCTGTTGTTATGTCATATTCGAGGCCATAAAAATCCCTAAGATTCTAGTTACTTGGCAGAGGGCAAAACTGCTGCTGACCTGTCACATTACCATACAATTCCTCAGTGGACACTGTTAAGAGGGACATTGAATTTTGTTTCTTTAAAAGAAGCTCGATAAAATGGCAGGATATTCAGCAGAATCTGCCTACCTGGGTCGCCATAACCAGGTCGCAAAACGTTAACAATATCACCTGTCTTTGACACTTAATTGGATTAAGAAATATACGCCCCCCTAATACAAACACTCGTCAAAGGAGGTTCTCCAATCGACCGATTACCTATTATACTGGGTCAGACCTATTTTGACTGACAAGACGGTGGATTTTAAAAGCCCAGATTTACTGTTTATTGACAAAAAAGAAAAATCCCCAACCATCATTGACATCTCTGTACCACTATCCCACAATGAAAATGGAAAAAGAAAGAAATATGAAAATTTTAGCTTCGAGATTAAGAAACTACGGACGCTATCCAACGATATCCCTGTTGTTATATCAACCGAGGGGATAATGACAACTGACTTCGTAACACAATCAAAGCCCTAAGAAGATTCTCATTACCTGTCAGATGGCAGTAGGGCTGCAGACCTGCCCCATTGTCACAGAATTTCTCAATGGATACTATTGAGGAGACAACTAATTACTTTTGTTCCTTTGTAACGAAGCTCGACCCTGGCAGTGCCAGAGAATGAAAATTAATTCATTCCTAATTTATAGTAGATAATAATAATAATGTGAAATAAAAACTGATATTTTTTTATTAAGTTACAACGGAAAATGCGACTAAAAAAGACACACTACAACTTCTTCATTAAGAAACAAATGTTAATTCTGCAAAATAAAGAATTAAACGGCCTGGTGAAAATGCAGATGTAGGCTCCCCCGGGTAAGCTGTTCTGCCTCATAGTGGCACCCGGGTGGAAACGACCATTAGAGGAAGTGGTTAGGCTAAATGAATGGCGAAACAAAACTCCCTTGGGGGTGTCCTCGGGTAGGCGAGAGCTTATCCATTGCACGGAGAGCCCTCACGACCCTGTCGATAATCCATGCGCCGTTCCTCAAGGGCCCGTTTACACTAATGGCGAGTCCTCCACAGTTAACTTGGTACAACGTAGAAAAATGGCGGAGGTTCCCGGTACACTCGGCTTTCGGCCGTGTCTAGCTCATGCGTTCGGGGACCAGATGCATCGGAAAGAGCAATGCTTAACATAGGCATTGACTTGGATTTCTTCCAGACAGAACGGTGTGTTCACACAGGTTTTTTTTTTTTACTGTTTGACGCTCAAACTCAAAGAGCCTTCGGCTCAGCTCTTAGACGATCAAACGATGTAGGCTCCCCAGGGCAATGCTTTTCAGCCTCAACGTGACGCTCGGGTGGAAACGGTTGTTAGAGGAGACGATTAAGCCAATAGGGAAGCAAAAAAAAAAGAACCTCCTTGCGCCCGAGCGGCGGGACCATGATTTTTCTGGTCCTCCAAGTAGTCAAGGTAGAAACAAGTGCATCTATTTCTAAACTCGACAACGAGCGAACAACAAAACTCTTTTTTTTTTTCTTCCAATGGCCCTTGTTTGCCACAAACTGGTTATGAGTAGTTATGACCCCTTGCGCAACGACCCCCCCCCCCCCTTTTTTTTTTTTCTTAGTTGCAATGCATTGACTAGTTGCTACAGCCTCTCTAACACTTTTGATAACAAAACTACTAATTATATCCAAATATCATTTCTCACGTCATAAAACAAATGTGTGCATTCTCTTTGATGTTAAAATGATCACACACCGCATGAATATGAGTCGCTCCATCTTGACCAATAAAAAAACAACAATAGCTTACATAAATTTGGCCTACACTCCTGTTGTTGAACTAACAATATGTATCTAGATAACAGTTTTGACAAATAGACCTACAATCCGACACTAATAATAAGGCTAGTCTTCGAGTCCGAAGATCAGTGAGGAATGCAGTATTTCCCGTGGCTGCGCAGTCCCAGCTGTGACCTACATATTTTGCCACAGCAGGGCCGACATTAATAATATTCTCTTTAAAATCCATCTCCAGATCTATGTCTATAAATTTACCTGAGCATTTTGATTTGCTGATTCAGTCAGGTGTTGTGACAATCCATTTAAAACATACTAGATCTAGACTACACTTATGTATATCGAGAACTAGATAGATCTAAAT